AGGGCAAGATGAGCCAGGACATGGTGTGTGGGACCGGGGAAGAAGAGCTGCCCCGCGGGAGAAAAGATAGGGATAAGAGGTGACCGGAGCTGCCTCTATGCTGGGAATAACCTCTCTGCAGTCAAACACCTCCAGCCTGGCCTTGCTTTGGTCCCCCCCGAGCGGGCAGACAGGTCCAGAGGGGAAAAGGGGGTGGGTAGGGTGGAAAAAAAGACCAAAAAAAAAAAAAAAAGAAATCACAAGAAGAAAAAAAAAAAAGCAGCGTGTATTTCCCCTTTCATCATTAGCTTGGTGTAAGCTAGTGAAGGAGCAGAGCCACTAGCCGATGTGCCATTCCTCAGTGTACGATCCTAGGGAATGTCTTTATGGAAGCTGGGAGGTCCTGTTCCCCATTGCTCGGTCGAGTTGCTGCGGGGAGAGCGGGAAGTGGGAGAAAGGTGCCCGTCCAAATCCAGGAGGCTCCTTTTGCTCCGTGGGAGGGAGGCCGGAGTCAATGGCAAAAGGCGTTTTGTACTCGCAGCCCCACCAAAGCAGCCACCGCTGCCCTGACCCGCCTCCGGCCGCCGCTCGGAGTGCTGGGGCCGCCGGCTGCCTCCTGCTCCTAGATGAACTTGAAGCATTTTGTCTTGTCGTGGGGCAGGCGGGTCTTGAAGAGGACCGAGTCCACGCGGAACTGCGTGTAGAGGAGGGGCATGTAGCCGTACACCTTGACGAAGAAGTTGATGCACTTGTGTCGCTCATGGAAGTGAGAGTCGTCGTGCGAAAGTGCCTGGGGGCACCCGGGGCAGCGGAAAGTCCAGCGGGAGGTCACCTGCGAAGAGAGCGACAAAGATGGTCACTGCCACACTGCTCTCTCCGACTGCTGTGTGTCTCCTGGAGGGTGACCAGGCAAGGAAGGACATGGTCTACATCAGCTCTGCCAGAGCAGAGACTTAAAGGGGGACAATGACCTACCAACATTAAGTTATCTTCTTCTTTTTTAAGGTTTGAGAAGCTGTTCCAGAGAAAAAAAAGTCCTTGAGAAAGGAACTCGTTTCCTTTCACTGGCTACACACGCTACAGAATTAGCAAGTCTTGTTTTGAGCATCCAGAGTAAGATCTTTGGAGGGGACTCCAGTTTTCAGGAGGTGCTGAGAGGCTACCTGTTGATTAAAGGGCCTCCTTGACTGTCTTGACTCAGACATCCCATCGCAGTGCACTTTGGTTTTGGTCTGATTCTCCTCTCAACTGCACCAAACTCTACAAGCTTCACTTCACAGTAGCTCCAGATGGGAAGAACACCACACAGAAAAGCCCACCCATCGGATTTGTGCCCAAGACCCATCTCCAAGGCAGCTGGCCTGTGACGGTGAGACACACGTGGGGCTGTAAAGAGCTGTCTGCCAGCGGCGATAAAGAGCAGAATGATCTGAACCCAAAATTCATGCTCAAAATTGTGACATTAATTTGTTGTCATAGGGCAGGGAAATTCCAGCTGGGCCGCAGTGTTTGGACCAAGAGCCCTCCGCACGCAGATGAGCCTACATGTCTCGCAAAGCTACCCAAAACAGGCAAGGAAATCACTCCTGCTTGTGCTGTATTGGTATGGAAAGAAGGAAATCCGTCTTTTTTTGCGATCAGCTGCTCGGAAAGGCCTTTGCTGCCCCCGGAAACCCTCTGGTCCGAGCTGCATCGTCAGTCAAAGCCCAATTCATCCACTCGCTGTGGCGGGGGGTTGGGTGCGTTTCTCATTCACACCTTTTGAACAGACCCTACGGAGCGGGGACACGCCGACAGCCTCGAGCACGTCACACTTGCTGCGCTTCAGCCGTGCGATGCAGCCGGATCTTGGTACGGGCAGTGTGCATTTCCCCCGGAGCCAAGCAGCCTCCGAACAGACCACCGGCCTTTCAAAGACATTGAACGAACCACCGTTTCTCCAGAAACACACAGCCCAGTACAGACTCCTGCCCAGCACTTTACCTTTATGGGAGGTTTCCTCGTCAGGTGAGACACCAAGAAGTTCATGGCGATGTCCTCGCAGTTGATGTACTCATCCACCATGTCGCGGATGGCTTGCGGCATCACGTAGGAGTACAGGTAGGCGTAGTACTGCAAAGGATGAAAAGGCACAATGTCGCTGAAGGTGCCGTAACGGAGTTAATCCTGCACCCAGGGGCTCTGCTGTAGCCGCAGCAGCAGCAAACCTACCCCCCAGCCACCACCTTGCCGAGTCCAAGGCTCCTGTCACCTCAGGAATCAAGAAATAATGGTCTCAGCTCCCTCAGACTCTGCTGTCTCTGCTGCTGCAGAGTCAGCACAGTAGCAGAACTTGGGAATTACCTTCCCATCGCGATATGAGAGCTCAGGTCAGTGCTCTTGGAAAAACATCCCACCCATTTCTCAAGGCCTGTTTGCCCACTGTCGTCTCTCCCATACAGAGAGGCAACACGTCATAGAGCCACTTTCTGCACTGCTCTCTTCCAACCTAAACCAGCCACCTCCCACACCTCGCAGCCCCTCTCCAGCTTTCTTGTAGCCCCCTTAGGTACTGGAAGGTCTCCCCAGAGCCTTCTCTTCTCCAGGCTGAACAACCCCAACTGTCTCAGCCTGTCTTCATAGCAGAGGTGCTCCCGCCCTCAAATTGTCTTTCTGGCCTCCTCTGGACCCGCTCCAGCTGCTCCATGTCCTTCTGCTGTTGGGGACCCCAGAGCTGAACGTAGCACTGCAGGCAGGGCTCCCGACAGCAGAGCAGAGGGGCAGAATCCCCTCCCTCGACCTGCTGCCCATGCTGCTTTGGATGCAGCCCAGGACATGGTTGGCTTTCTGGGCTGCCAGTGCACATTGCTGGCTCATGGTGAGCTTCTCATCGACCAGCACCCCCCCAAGTACTTCTCCTCAGATGCAACAGTAAAGACGCAGGGCAGGCAAACTCGTGGCCGATCCTCACCATGACCAAAAGCATTGCTGAAATGCTTTCGGCCCTGCACCTCTACCTGCTTCAGTGCCATGGTGCTTCTCACATGGCACAAACATGAGCTGTTCCCGAGGAGGTCACTCACTGGGACGCGGAACAGTTGCCGGCTGTGTTTCAGTTTAGAGGAAGCGAGGGAAAAGGAGCGGTGAGCTCCAAAATTTGTTCTTTAAAAACCCATCCCACTAACATACTAGAACTGGTTACTCTGAGGAGGCAGAGAAAGCTCAGGTCTTTGTGGCCGTGACATCTCACCTTATGGAAGAAGGCAGCACCAGTGAGCACCATAGAGAGCTCGCACGAGTAGTTGGAGTTGTAGAGCCAGGACTGATGGGGGATGTCCCATGCGTGGTAGCGCCCCGGGAAGCCAACGATGCGGTCCCTCGCCTCTCTCCACACACTGCAAGCACAAAGCCTTTCAGTGAGACACAAACCCGGGGCGCCCGTCCAGAGACGGGCACGGCTCTGGCCAGAAACCACCACACAGAGGACTATGTCCTCGACGCCAACGGACTGGCTCCCAAGGCGGGTTGCAAGTGCTGGAGTTGCCTATACATAAAAAAGTTTGGCAACTGCTCATCCAAAGAATGGCCAACATACATTGCAGTTCGGGCAAAAAGGATAAACATTGGTAAAACATGAAATTACCTTGCTTTAAAGACCATTTTATTTTTTTTTTTTAAATAAAGATACAGAAAATTCCACCATGCAAAATATGTCTTTCTACATAGGCTTTTGAGTAAAAGCTCGCCCACCTCCACAGCACCGAAGCTCCACTGTCGGTAGAAGGGACCAACTGGCCATCAGGGCTGCCCAAGTGACACGTGAACAAGGTCCCACCCTGAGATAACTCAGATTTCTTTCCTATTGCAGTGCAGGGAAGGGTTCAACGCAGAAATCTTGCCTTTAACGCTCAAGCAGAATTTATTGACCATCTTTTGGCGAAGGTTAAAAGCTGTTGGATGTGAACTGAAGCATCCCTCAGCCAACTTTCCCAAGCACAGGCTGTGAGCACAGACCAACGTTGCTTGGTACAAAGCTGAGCTTCTCACCTTGCTCCTCTCCTAGAGGCACATCTGAGTTGCTTAATCACAGGAAAAGTGCTCCTAACTCAGAAAGAAGGGATTTTCTAACTCGTAAGAGCTGTTCTGATGGTAGAAAACTAACAAAAAAGCCCAACAGCCCAAGATGAGTTTCTGAATTACACAGAAAATTGAAAACTTAAGACCTTGGATGGAAAGGTGGAGAAAGAGGCAGAGAAAGCCAGTGAGACGGCAAACTCTTCCGTTTGCCACCAGCTTCCCGCAGCCCGTGCAGGGACATCACTGCACGACACACATGCCAGCACTGCTTCTCTCTTATTTCCCCTCTATGGAAAGTCCAGAGCAGCCAAGGCTTGGCCCAGCAGGAGCCCAGCATCTCCTGGCCTCTTCCTCCAAATCCCTGGGACTTTCCATCTCACCGAAGCTGTTTCCTCCTCCGTAAAGTTGAGATAACTTCAAGCTCCCTTTAGGAAAGCTGCTGAGATGCTGAAGACCTTGGTGTCTCCAGATGGAAGATCTGGAGAGTTGAAGTGTCAGCTTCCCATCCCACATCAGCACCCGGCAGCTTCCCAGGCTCTGTCCATACAGGAAAAAACACGGGGGCCGTAAGCGCATCCTTCACCCTAACACGCTCGCAGTCAAGCCGTTGGGAATGAAATCCTGAGGTTTGCATGTGAAAGCGTGGGTTTGCTTAACACTCTGCTCTCATCTGAAGCTCACTCTCCTTGAGAGAAATCCCACAGGATAGCTGCAACACTGGCAGGAATAATTAATAGAAAAAGTCAGTGCCTAACACCTAACCTGGGGAATAAATCCCACTTCCACTAGCAGAGGTGCCGGCTTCCTCTGGATCATCTGATCCCATTTCCCTGACGGTTAGTGTCCAAGCTGCATCTCCAAATCCAGGGACTCTAGACTACAAGAAACGAATCCCAGGCAGGAGCCTGTTGGACACAGAAGGGGTTTGCCTTCTTCACGGGCACAAAACAGGGCAGAAAAGTGCCTTTTTGTGGTTTTTAGCCTTGTGTGGATGCACATTCCTCCCACAATCCCCATTCCCGCGGAGAGCTACAGCAGCAATGGCTGCAGGGCAATCACAGGCTGCTGGAGAGACCGAGTTTCCGAGAGCCCTGAGCTTTCATTACACTCACGGACACAGCCAGGAGCAAAGATGGGTTTGTTCTTATATCCTCTACTCCAATTAACGAAACTCCGATATAACCTGGTAACAAGAACCAAGTAATTAACACCGTCCGTGGTTTCCCTGGCACCACCCTCCCAGCAAGCTCTTGTTTGCTGCAGTTTCTGTCAATCCAATGGGATTGTTTCGAAAAACGGAGTCGAAACTACTCATTCCCTTTTGTTTCTCCCACGTCTCACTTTTCCTTCCCAGCTCAGCCAGGAAAATCAAGATTTCTCCAGAGAATCATTTTGGGTGCGCTCCCATAAAAGGTTTGCTTCGGGCACCCACCTCCAGCGCGCTCCTGAGCGGCAAATGGAGCAAGAAGAGGCTTTTGGCCCCAAGAATTACAGGCCGAAGGAAAGTTTTGACAAAACACAGTTGTTATGGGCAGAGGTTCACTCCATCACCGAGACACCATCTCTTCCCGGGCTGAATGCGTAAACACAGGGAAGCTTTGTGGGAACAAGGAGTTTGTAAGCAGGGATACGAGTGAGAATAATGCACAGCACTTACAATTTTCATTTGATGGTTTCCAGGGCTAATCAGTAACATCTCAGCCACATGAGTGAAGGAAAAGAGAGACCAAAGAGGGGGAGAAATGGTCAAGTTCAGATAAAAGCCTGAAACGGGGCAGAGAAGGGAAGCCAGGAGTTCTGATGCCTACTCCTTTGCTTTAATCACTTTACCACCTCGTTTCTCATCATTCAGCGAGAGCTTGTTTGGTTTCCAGGCATTTGGGGCCTTTTAATCTTCCTCCCAAATACGAGCCAACACATTTCGGTGAGAGCGGAGAGCTGGTCCCCGTCTCCCACCCCCCAGCCAGCTGCCGGGTGCTCTCGGATTGGCAATCGCAGCCTCTGCTCCCGGCCCTGCGCTGACAAACCGCAGCCAAACGAGCTCCAGCGATCTCTCCTCATGCCATCTTCGCTCCCTGGAGCGTCTTTGGCAGTCAGTGAAAAAAAAAGCAGCATGTGGAAACCTCCCACGGCAGGAGCCCACGTAACTGCTTTCTCCCTTGGCCCTGTAATCAGGCAGCTTTTTGCCAGGGTAAAATCAAAGGGAAATGTAGATGCTGGAGCAGAAGGGGAGTGGGAATGAGAACAACCAGCACCAGCCTTTTCTGTGTAACATCTGTCTTTTCCATGCTTTGCAGCAAAAAATGCCAAAATAGCTGTCACATCCCAATGTCATACCAAAGGGGATGGCAGCCCACTGCGAGCACATGAGCATCATCACGTCCTGCAGTGGCTGCGAACGTCCTGGCCTTGCCTACGGCACATGAAGCATAGAGGGCAACAGCCTCTTGGATTTGTTTTCCAGTTTCCTTCAACCCTAGGAAGCCATGCACACCCAAAACTATTACAGGAATGTTATCAGCACAGCAAAGGCCGAAGAGTCGAGGTTACAAGCCTGAGAATTGGGGTTGCCTGGACAACCTGAACTCAGCCCACCTGCCTTCGCTCATTAAACAGTTCATTAGCACATATTATTCCTCTAAGAAATCGAGTTGGAAAGCCATAGGAAGGGATGTGCTAGTCTTAATGCCTTTAGCTATGAGGCCACACTGCATCTGAGCAGACCCTGGATGTGGAAAAAACCATTGGTTTGGGTCCAAAAGCTACATGCGTGGAGGCCACTCACCGGAACCCAAACATGATCTCGTCGTGACGCAGGTGAGCATCGTCGTCGATGGACAGGATGGCTTCTGTCTCGATCTCATCCCACGGCAGGAACCGGTTGTTCAGGCTGTTCTTCTCTGTGCGGACAACCTAAGAGACGAACACACGACAGTTACGGTGGCTGTACGTGCACGGAGAAGAGACGGAGACACTGGGGCTGCGCACTGCAGCTGCGGCGGTCCAGCATTTCGGCACCGCTTCAGAGCCCCTTGGATGGGAAAACACTTTCTAAGCCAAAAAGCATCAGCTCACTCCGGAGACACCTCCTGCCTGTCCCACAGGACGGCCAAAGCCGATCCCGAGCCCCACAACAGCGGGTACCAGCTGTACCAGCAAGGCTCACGGGTGTCTGCCCGCTGGCGCACAGGAGGGCAGCTCTGCAGTAACGGAGGGAGGAAAACACGGCAGCCAGGGCCAGCCCCTCCTACAGCCGCTGAAGAAGTGGCCATTGCAGTATTTCTCCAGCGCTGATCTGAATTGTTTCTGCAGCTACCTACGATTTCTGCCTTGGACACAATTTGTTCGCAACGTCTTCCTCTCTCAAAACTCTTCCAATCTCCCATTGTGCAATTTCCCTTCTCCCCAGCTATAAATGTATAAAATCATACTGAATTTCTCCCTCTTCTTGACTGCCCCTTCCACACTGGACTCTTTCTCTCCCTCGTTTTTACACTTATTGCCTGCCCTGGCTGATCTATAGTCACTCAGATCCTCCTGGGCTTCCCGTCCTGTTCAATCCCTCCAGTTGTTTCTCTGGCTCTCCTCTGAACAATCTGTCTTGATTTAAAAATAAAGTCCAGCCTGGTGAAAAGAATAAGGCGTCACAGCAATAAAACTCCATTAAATCAGATTACATTTGATCACGTAAAAAAAGCCCACACTGAAACCATTAACAGTGGAAAATATTTGTATCGGGGATCTGCATGACAGCTGGTACGATTAAATTCCCATGTAAAGCCCGTGTCAGCGCTTTCATCTGTCAGTAGCTGCTGGGAGGGGAAAAATGGAACATTCGATGAGGGCACATTAAAATATTTCACTGAAGATCCATCAAAAGCACAAACAATTTATTGCAGGGAGGCGAACAAATTACACAGCTCTGAGCCGCAGTGGAGCAGGGTCGGAGCCGAGCCGGCAGCGCTCCCACCCCAGGAGAGCTGCGATCCAATTAGTGCCCGGAGGAAAAGGCAGAAGCAGAGACAGGCAATGCTGGCGCAGGAATTTCTTCCCCCTCTCCCTCCCGAGGTGGAGAAGCACGACAAAAATCAGCATGGAGTTTGTATTTACTTTTGGAGTTAGCATGAGCCAGGAGATGCTCCCGGGGTTATCTTCTCTATCTGGGAACCGCTGGAAAAGAGAGGTTGCAGGAATTGTGGTGGGGATGGGCAATGAGGAGGGAAGCGGGAAAGGAGATAACTGCGCACACTGATTCTGGGGAGACAGCTGGTGGAAGAGGAATCAAAAAAACAGGAGGTTTGGAACGGTATGGACCTAAGGTCCTGCACATGGGTTGGGGCAATTCCAGGCACAAGTACAGGCTGGGCAGAGGATGGATTGAGAGCAGCCCTGAGGAGAAGGACTTGGGGGTGCTGGTTAATGAGAAGCTCACCATAAGCCGGCACTGTGCGCTGGCAGCCCAGAAAGCCAACCATGTCCTGGGCTGCATCCAAAGCAGCGTGGGCAGCAGGTTGAGGGAGGGGATTCTGCCCATCTGCTCTGCTCTCGGGAGACACCCCTGCAGTGCTGCGTTCAGCTCTGGGGCCCCCAACAGCAGAAGGACACGGAGCTGTTGAAGCAGGTCCAGAGGAGGCCACAAAGATGATGCGAGGGCTGGAGCACCTCTCCCATGGAGACAGGCTGAGAGCTGGGGCTGTTCAGCCTGGAGAAGAGAAGGCTCCGTGGAGAACCTCCCGCAGCCTCCCCCGACCTAAAGGAGCTACAAGAAAGCTGGAGAGGGACTTTGGACAAGGGCGTTTAGTGACAGGACATGGGACAATGGCTTTAAACTGAAAGAGGGGAGATTTCTATGAGATCTAAGGAAGAAATTCTTCCCTCTGAGGGTAGTGAGGTACTGGACCAGGTTGTCCATAGAAGTTGTGGTTGCCCCATCCCTGGAAGTGTTCAAGGCCACGTTGGATGAGGCTTTGAGCAACCTGATGTAGCAGAAGGTGTCCCTGCCCATGGTAGGGGAGTTGGAACTAGGGGATCTTTAAAGTCCCTTCCAATCCAAACCATTCTATGATTCCATGCTTCTATAAGGCGCTAGCCCAGGAGGCAAAGGAAGACCTGGATACAAGGTGACCAGTGTAGGCTTTGAGAAAACCACCTTCACAGAAGCATCACCAAATCCAATAGGCTGCGGGCATCCTCCGGATGTGTCAACCAGGAAAAGTGAGGAGTCAAGAGCGGTCCCCAAGTTGTTAATAAGAAGAATTCTCCTGCATCGCCACGGCTGTATCTGTAACTGGCTTTAGCAAACTCAAGCGCTCTTGAAGCTGCACCAGAAGGACCAGGTTTGCTGGCTCAGAAAGAGGTGACACAGATCTAGATGCAGCAGCCACGTCCCACTCAGAGTTGCTTTTTTTGGACTGAAAGGTAACTTTGGCAAGCTGATATGATGACAAAACTAAGAACATCTAGTGGAAGGTGTCCCTGCCCATGACAGGGGGGTTGGAACTAGATGATCTTTAAGGTCCCTTCCAACTCAAACCATGCAGGGGAGGGGCCCCCAGCCGCTGAATGCCTCCAGTGGGACATGGGCATTTCACCTTTTTAATTAAGGGCCATTAGCCTTTGTTTCCAGCCCTTTTCTAATTAATCACTCAGTGCATTGCAGGATTTACAGGATCTAATTTTATTACATGCGTGGTTAAACGCTTTAGGAAATTTTCTGCCTCCCACACCTGGCCGGCTCCTTTCCTCGTCAGCACATGGGCAACCCACCCCACACACCAGTTCTCAGGTGCTTCCTGAAGACTTCAGGAGCTTTCATGGTTTCTGACACAGGAAAGGGCTCCTCCAGTAAATTCCAGCCTGGACCAGTTGGGAACTGGTCATCACTCCCACCAGCTCAATGATGATATGTATTTCAGTTCCTCACGGGTGTCACGGAGCGTTTCTGAAAGCAGCATCATTTCTCTCACAAAAGTCTTGTGACCACCAACTTTTTCCTCCCGTTGCAGATCCCGCCTTCTAGGAAGTTTGCAAAGTTCTTCAACCCAGCACCAATACGTGATTTAGCCTTCTGCTAAAGAGCACGTGCCACGCTGCGTCTCTGCTGTTACAATGGTATTTCCTCAGAAAGCCTGATCTCCGCGAAGTCTGTGGGTGTCTTACTCGTTAGGATTTGTGGACATTGGATCGAGTCCATAGCAAACTGATATCGTGCCTTCCAGGCAAGGTCTTGCCTTGCCAGTTGAAGATGGATGGGTGGATAAAGGACAAAAGAAGAGTGAGAACCACCAGGCTGAGCACTGCTTTGAATTTATCAGACTCCTACTCACCACGGATCTTCATCTCAGCTTCTCAGGAAAGCTTCAAGTCCCACGTCTGCAAATGTCAACTAATTTCTGCTCCCCAAAGCTGAAAACAGCAGCACGGAGGTTTTGCCCACAGCACCATCCTGCATTTGTGGTCAAACCACTTTTAAAGCCTTTGGCTGCCAGAGCGAGCCCCCGCGGCAACTGCACCCTCACCAACTCGAGTGTGGTGAGGCACTGGACCAGGCTGTGGCTGCCCCATCCCTGGAAGTGCTCAAGGCCAGGTTGGATGAGGCTTTGAGCAACCTGGTGTAGTGGAAGGTGTCCCTGCCCATGGCAGAGGGGTTGGAACAAGATGATCTTTGAGGTCCCTTCCATCCCAAACCATTCCATGATTCTAAGATTCTATGTACAGTTTTGTGTCACTGGTTTCTATATGGACTGTGCAAAAGATTAAAGAGAATCCAGGGCCTGGTCTGAGCTTTGACTGCTACTCAAAATCGAGGGAGAGATAAAGATGTGATGTTGAGCTCAGAGGTCCAACGACCCGAGAAAGCTGAGGCTGGTTTTCACCTGAGCTTTAGAGTCACACCCACCTTCTTGCCTTGTAAAGATCTGGAGAGGAAGCAAAACTCGGCACAAGTTCCGCAATGGGCACGCTGCAGGTTACTCCGTCGATCCTGAAGCTTTGCAAATCTGGAAGTGCCAGTGTTCAGCTTTTGCATTCACAGAAAATAGGTGTGCTCCTGCCTTTCATCTGGGAGTATTTAAGATTTAAGTAGCCTGTAAATCGATAGATCCCGAGGAAAAACCCAGCAAATTTATTGATTTACTTGTTTTCCTGTAACTTGCTGAACAGTAACGTGACACAACTACTGCCAGTTGAGAAAGTGAAGCGGATCCTGCCTGAAACATCTGAAACTGGGGACCCCAGCGGACAGAGAGATCAGCGCACCGACATTAAACTCTTCCCTAAAGAGAAGGATGCTACGAAGGAGTCGGATGCCTCCAAGCCTTGATAAGCACATCCAATTCATCACATTAACTCCAGTAAAAGTTAAAAGCTACTTAAAGCTATCACCTTTGATCGAGTTGTTTTCAAAGAAACCATCCCAATTTACAGCACTTTTCAGATGCAGCTAATCGTCATCACAAACTGTGCCGTGGCTTCTGTAAATCCCTGCACTTTCCCCTGGGCAACTCCACCAAGGAAGCGCGCAGGGACCTGCAGGCAACGATCTGAGATGGGAACGATGGGGCCGGGATTCAAAACCTTCCTCCCGTCTCTCTATCCCCCTCGAGACGGTTCAAGCACGGTACCTCCCCAGGCAAGACCATGTTTTGATCTTTACTGTGTACGCTGCATCCCAAGCTGCGGAAATGAGGGCATCGCGTGATTAGGCAGAAAATCTAACTCTTGAGAAAGATAAAAGTGAATTTTCAGGAAACTCTTCTGCTTTAATATCAAGCAACTAACCTTGTAAAAACAGGTATGGGGGAATGGGAAGAGTATTTGATTCAGGGACTTGAATCACTTCTATCTCTTCTCAAGTTTTTGTATTTCAATGGGGCTCTAAACCCATCAGATTCCTCAGGCACAAAATGGACATT